CAAGCAGCCTTCCTTTCCTACCTCGGCATGTCTGTCACACAGCAGCAGTGTATGTCAATGGGTTTGTTGGTTTACAAGGTCTGTACTGCGGCAAGACAAATGTAAGGGTTAAAGCACCTGTTTAAAAAAAGGTGTTTATTATTGTTATTACACAGCCAAGAAATTTCAGCATGTATTTCAAGGTAACAGAAATAGGTTGAAGATTTGTTTCTTGCTCTTGAAACTCCTCCAAGACAGTTTTAATATGCTTTGGCTGTTCACAGGAGACTTCTATTAAAAATATTGTTATTGCAGCGCTGTATGTCTACATACAGTCGTAAAGTTTCAAAAATATTGTGATAACAAGGTCATACTCTATCAGTTACTGTACCTGAGAGAGGGAAAGACAGCATCGCCTCTGGCTTTGTGTTGCGTGGAAATGGCTGAGAGGAATCACTCTACTCACTAAAATTACACGGATTTGAATTGTCAGGGAGGCCGAGGTGGAAAACTGACAGCCACGCACATCGTAACTCCTCAGGGCAGAACAGTTGGCTGCTGTCACTTTGGAGATATTTGACACCCCTCTCAATCTTATATTACCCCTATAATATCTTCATGTTTTTGCTTTGGACTCTGGTCCATTGAATCAGTGTTTGTTATTATGTTGTAATTGTAGTAAATACATGTATTTTCTCATTTACCCTGTGGAGGCATCAAGCCATGCAGACAGTTTTAGTTTTGCTTGTCCAGGTTTTAAGTTATGTGGTTCTGAGAATTCTGCTGTTTGTGACACTCACAGCATGATAAATGTTACTGTATATTTCAACAATTAAACAGCCATTTTTTTAATCACAATGTTATTCTGAATAATCCACAAACTGTCATGTCAACAGTTTCCACTGCATCTACTCTTTGTAGTCTGTTTCAATGGAATGGCATTGCTAGGCAACGGCTTGGGTCCATGTTTACTTCCTGTCAGCTGATGTCATTCGCTTGACTGCAACAGCAAACCCATAATAGTAATTATAGTTTCTTTGGCCTGTGATTCTGCCAAATGGCCATACAGACTGTTGACAGTGAGGTCTGCAGACTATCCAGAGTAATAGGGACACTGTTTATGGATAGAGCTTCACTGTTGACGCTTTTTGAATGAAACTTTTCAGAGCTTGGACAATTTGTCAAATATTAAATTAGTCTATCAACACAAAAATAACTTGCAAGTAATTACGATTAGTTATTTTAGTCATTTTTAGGCAAATATACATGTATACATAAAAGAGGTAGTCTATTTTACTGCTTTTACTGCTTTTCTCTGGCATAGACTGGATATTTTGGGGTTTTGGACTGATGGTTGGATAAAGCCACTATTACCTATTTTCACTATTTTCCGACATTTTATAGACTGTTCAAAAATTTGATTAATTGCTATCTTAATTGGCACATTATCAATAAATAAAAATCCTGAGCTGCAGCCCTACAATGATTCAGTGCTTTGGGAAGCACAAATAGAATTCCATTCACCCCGATCTTACTGGGGTGAAAGACATCTCAGACACAGAGACTTGCAGTACATTATATCAACAAATATTCTTTTGTTATTGAGTGAACTGACCCTTTAACCCGTTTAAAAGCTGAAATGAGACTGAAGGCCCTCATTTTCAAAAGAAGCTCACAATACTAAACTGAATCAAGGAAGCAATGTCTCTGGTTCAGATCAGGCAAACGATGAATGAAGCTTGCCAACTGCACGTCAGTTCACTTTCTGTAAAGTTGCCTGATTGGAAAGTGTTTGATGTATGATGAGAGCCAAGCAATTCAGATGCAGTGAGAATAGTTAGTCTGAAACTGCTTTTGACATTTTAACGATAGAGTTTTTGCAACAAGAACAAAAACTTTCAATTTAACTTCTCATCCAAACTCAATATTCCAACACAGCTCACATTAAGCATCTTTGATCAATCATGTATATAAATAGCTTAACTTTAATCCTGCATACGCTTCAGAGGAGGCTAGTTCTGGTCTTTGACCGCCAATCCACACATTTCCAGGTCCCTCTTTCCCTTTGCCAAGCAGAGAGCGATGCCTCTGCTTTCTTTCAGGCCTAATCATGAGCCAACAGCCACTACACACCCGTCCACAGCTCTTTCTCTGTGTGTGTGTGTGTGTGTGTGTGTGTGTGTGTGTGTGTGTGTGTGGGGGGGTGTGGGTGTGTGTGTGTCTACGCTGGCTTGTGAAGGCTCTGCTATGCGTAGGGAAAGGGACTGGGAGTGATGGCCTAGACCTCACTGGCTGTGATGGACACTTTAATCAGGCTTGGATGAGAAATTAATAGAATGGGCCACAGCTGAATACGAAGAAGAGTGGGCTTCTCGCCTTTTGTAGAAGGACTCTTAATAGCTTGACCAGGCTCACTGCACAACCACTCCAGGGTCCGAGCTGAGAGAGCCCAGATGAAAACAGAGTATAGACTGCAGTGTCCCGTTTATATGTCTCCTGTCAATTTAAATAGCCTTTTAGATTGCATGAAACAGTGCATGTGGAGGCACGTTATCTATTGGTAGATGATTTGTGTCTGTGCCATATTGGTGTAGCTTTAACGCAAGTCAGTGTGCAATGAAGCAGCTTTTCTGTGAGTCCCTTCACACATTTCTTAAAGGTAATATGGCCACAAATTCAGGGAGGATTGAAAGATCTCTGGAAGTTTTCTTTGCCCTGATTTTACACACAATTGGACTAGCAATAAACCCATTCGAAGAGATTGTGTGTTTTTCTATACCTACATATGTGTGTATGTTTGTGGGTCGGTGTATATTAGTGAATGAGGGGATGAGGCTGGAAATGAATGCAAAATTGGATTTGGGAGAATTATGCAACTGATTTATCTGCAAATTAGACACATTTCTCACCAAATCTATCGTAAAGACTCCTCAAGACACAATTACAACACAGTTTTGAATTGACGTAAAGTAGATAATGTCATACAAGCCAAGTTGTATATGTGATTATACTTAATATACTTAAGCAAGTCAAATACTCCTAGATTCTGAGGTAAAAGCGGAAAAGACTCATCATCACCTAAGAATTCTGTAATTAACAAATTCTCTGCTCAACACAAATGCTGTTCCCGCTAACGACAAGAGCAGGTCAACCTTCACATCACAGCAAGAGCAGCTGATAATTTAAACAGCCTGTTTAGAGTTGCAGATTAAGCCAAACACAATAAAGCACCTAGAAAATGCACATTTCTCTCCAGTGGCATAAAAAGCAGCAGCTGGGCTTCCCGCGACAAATATAGGAAAGCCTGTAGGTAAGCAGATGAATAAGCGGATTTAGTCTGCTTTAAACGATTGCTCTCTCAGGGAAACAAACTCTTTTTGTCACATGCAGCACAGAGCTGCCCGGTGTGATTCCATAGTCCTGAGTCGACAGAGACCGATGCACCGTCCCTTCCTCTCTTATCGGAGTGCTGCAGCCCCACGAGGTCTGGCTGCAGGCCTGCAGAGACCTTCTTTCTTTTCTCCGAGTCACAAACGTGCACACAAACACACACACTTACACTCTTTGTTGCATACACGCTTGCTCTTGAATTTTACATGATTTTACATGGAGTCTTGTAGGGATCTGCATAAAATTAAGGGCACAGTCTACTTTTTTCACTCGTTATATTTTTCAGCCATGCACGCAGCCTTCCATATAGGCATGGCATATGTTTGAAGGTCGGTTGGTTCCACAACTTGTGTCCAAGGATGTACACAAGTGGATGGATTGCAGTGAAGTCTTCTGCAGACATTCATGATCCCCAGAGGATGAAGCTTACTGATTGAGGTGGTCCGTTGTGCATTTTGCAATGTGGTCCAAACATTCGTTGTCTTGGTGACTTTGGTGATCCCGAGAGTTTTAAGTTTTATGCTAATCACAAGTTTCTGATCTCAAATTTCTCATTTTGTCTGAGAAATTATCCAAAACTTGAAGTTATTGCATTTGTAGTCATGTAGAGAAGAAGCAAATCTGCATATTTGTAGAAGTTAATAAATTACTTCAATAATTGTTAATCAAAATAGTAAATGTTCTGCTGATCCACTACTAAATTGTATCTGCATTATCCACATTGCAACCTTTCTCTGTTGTGCTCTCCCATATTGTATGGTAGCTATTAAGGTGTCATAACATTTTTTGGCGTTGAATTAAGCAGTTATCATCAGGCTGTTGATTTTACAGTGAAGTTGAATGTTTTGGCTGTGATGTGTCATTTGTCTCTGTAAAAAGAGTCCATTCTTCTGTAACAAACCGTGTGCCCTTATGTGTACAATATAAATCATTGTGACATATTGTTCCTCTGTTGCTGGTATGGACTTCCCTCACTGGACTAAAATTCAGCCCAAGAAAAACCTCTTCTTATCTATTTCATCTTTTCTGTCTCTGCTGCTCAGCAAACATGTCCACCAGCTCCTGTCCGTTAGTCCCCTCCTCAGTTTGCTGTGTCCTCTCCTGAGTTTCTTGCTCCTGTTTGTTTTCGCTGAGGGTTGAGAGGCGTTTCACAGCGGATGGAAAACAGCACTGAGGAGCACGCCTCGAGTGTGTGTCGCTGATATTTTATTAAATCTTATCAGACTGCTGTCTCTCACTTACCTACTACCCTCACAGGTTTCAGTGCTGAGTCTGTCACTCTCACTCTCACTTCTTAAACCCCTGTGGCCACAGCTGAGGGGGAGCTGTGAGTCTTGAGGGGTTTCCTATGTTGATTTGAGGGCATATTCTATGATGTGCTACATAATCACACCCTCTTTTTTTAATTCCTGGTGTCCAATACGACTTCCTTCATTTTATGCTGCTTGTACTTTTAGTTCTCTATTTTCGTCCTATCTCTTTTTTTCTCCCTCAGTCTTTCTTTTGCTTCTTCTTAGTTTCTCCTCTCTCGTGATTTCATATTCTCAATCCTGCACTCGCAGTTTCTTCATTCCTCTTCTGCACACTCTAAATTCCCAAACTCTCTCTCTCTCTCGCTCTTTCTCCCTCAGTGTTGTTGCGTGAGGAGGTGGTCCAGCTTCAAGAGGAGGTCCACCTGCTGAGGCAAATGAAGGACATGTTGAGTAAAGACCTGGAGGAGACCCAGGGAGGCTGCTCTGCCAATCTGCTCTCAGCCACAGAGCTCCGAGTGCAGCTGGGTGACAAGGAGCAGGAGCTGGACCGTGCCAAGGAGGCCTTACAAGGTCAGGAGCCAACACAGGCGTCTTTTTGTCTCACCTAATCCCCCAGAGTCCCTTCTGGGAACAGCTACCTCAAATATGCAGCAAATACAGCTGTCCATGCTGTTAGTAGGATGTTTCATCTTTTCGAGTTCCTTCAAGCCAGATTGTGTTGTAATAAAACCCACTTTATCTCACCAAAGAAAATAATGAGTCAGTTTCTGCAATTCGTTTTTATTTCTGTGTCATGATACAGGGATTGGAAACAAACATGTACATATACAGTACAAAACCAGAAGAAACATATTCTAACAATAACACAATCATCAAATCACAAATGTATTTAAAGAAATGATTTGCCAAATAGTAAAAGAAAGGGAAAAACGCTACAAGGCAAATGTTTATCCTGGCAGCATATTTCTGCAAATAACTGGTTCAACTTAAATGTTTCATATTGAATTCTATACATTCTCGAAGGGATATGTTACACTTCTTACCCTTGATGTCAAGGAAAGCAGATATGGCCATTAAGTGTGCTTCCTTTAAGTCAGTTGGCCAGAACGCTAACAAGATCAGAAGTATTGTTTTGAAGTATCTTGTTCAACATATGATTGCTTATTTATGTACAACAAACAAGGATGAATCATTTAATGAACATAATATTTTAGCTAATTTAAGGCTAACCTATTTATATTTAGCAAATCAAACACATGCCCCAGTGGATTTTCTGACTGTATGTGAACAGCCAACTCAGTATTTGTGCATCATCCATCATTGTTATCTTACTCAAGACAGTAGTGCTTGCTCCCAGTAAAAAAGAACACTATAAAATTAAAATGAAGCTAATTTTACAATCCATTACGAACCCACTTGTCTTCCTCCAGACTGACATTGCTTCCAGTTTCGACATTGAGTAGTAAAATACCAATAATAGTAATAATAAAACATTTATTTCATGGCGTCTTTCATAGCACTCAAGGTCACCTTACATCACGTAAGATCCATATTAAAACATACAATAAGCAACAGAGCTCAACTCAGCAATGAGTCAAAATCTGTGTCATAGTATAAAATAAGATGCATTGGCTCATGTAGACACATAAAGATCTTTGCTTATAAGATACATTAAATAAAGAATAATTCTCTGTAACACATTTATATTTCATCATCCTAGATGTACACAGTTCAGGTGGTTCAGTCCATATTCTTTACTATCAGTAAACAAAAAGTTGTGGCAATAAAAAAGACGAGGACAATGTCTTTACAGTCTATTTTAGGGTTCATCTGTTTTGTCATGCATGTGCCAAAGGTCTCAAACGTGTGCACTGAAATGACAACAGTGTGCAATCTTCCAGAAGAGAAACATGATATTTTGTGTTAACATCTTATTTGTTGTAAGTGTGGACAAGAGATACTGTATATGTGCATATGTTTTGACATCGGTATGTCTCCGAAATGGGTGTCGCCCGTGATGAGCAGCCAAGAACACACCAGGTTCACCTCATTTTAATGAACTCCCATCAATCATGCAATAGAAGCTTTGCTCTGAAATATTAATGTGGCGTTAATGTAGACTAGAATACAGAGTTCATTTTTTTGTATGAAAACAAATCCAACCATAATGAAACCCAGGGAGTAAAAACAGTCCGTCCCACATTTAGGATCATTTCTTGTCACAAAAATAGAAGAAGAAACCAAAAAGGCAATCGTGGATTTAGTTTAGTTCGACAGTATTGCTTTGCATGGTTCTCGCCCCTGCTCTGAGTCCCAGGTGGTAAACTGCAAGCTCGTAAACTGTGTTGTGTAACGGCAGAAAAACAGGTTTGAATGTTGAGTGTAAAATATGAAGAGACTAAACCGTTGTCAGGAGGAATGCCTCCTGAATGACACATGTGTGCAGTCATGTAAAGTACAGGTTCCAGTCTTGTCTCACAAACTCTCCAGGGAACAATGTTATTGGTATTGCTTGCAAAGAGCCCCACCGGTTGCATCATGGCTGTTGAGTTTTCTCTGAAAGTTGAAAGAAATCAGATCCAATTGGTCTTCTCCGGGATGAGCCAACAGTCTCCACATGCCAGCCGAAACAGTTACATGTATGAATGAATACGTGCTACTGTGCCAATTATTGTTTGGGATGATTTCATCATCTTATCTAAAACAAAACAAAAAATAGAAGAAAAGAAAGCTGCAGCCCCTCATTAACAGAAGGCACAGTGTCACCTGGTGGTTCCCTTCTGCAATTGCAAAGTTGTTTCTGATTTACAAATCTCACTGACACATTTGTTTGACAGTCAAATTGGCTGTTAAAATGATCCTTGACTTACACCTGTATGTGATGCTCAGTGTGTGAATGTGTTGGTCTCTGTGTTGCAGCCATGAAAGCTGACCGTAAGCGTCTAAAAGTGGAGAAGGCGGACTTGGTGAGTCAGATGCAGCAGCTGTATGCAACACTGGAGAGCAGAGACGACCAGCTGCGAGAATTCATACGCAACTACGACCAACACCGAAAGGTGACAGCGGCCCTGCCCATTTATCAGCATTAGCTCATTGTGTATATATAACTAAAAATGTCAGTGCAGAAAAGCCCAAGACAGCGTCTCAACAACAGAGTTTTGCCACTGACAAATTCATTTGTATCATTTTAGCTGTAAAATGTCTCCCGGTGTGGTAACACTTTACTTAAAGTCATTCTTTAAAGCATAAACCTTATGTAAGCGCTTGATACATGGTTTATAACAAACTATAATGTAGTTGTAAGCAAATGTAATTGTTTATTAATGTAATTGGCAACAACTATAACTCCTCCTGTGGTCACCGTGGAGGCTGCTGCATAAACGGTAATGAATGAATATATAGTAAAACACCGTTGTAATATAATAACATTTGTCTTCGTAGGAGAAGTTATAATTGTTGACAAAGACTGTACATTTGTAAACACTTAAAAATAACTATCTGTGCATGAACACATTATAGTGTGTTATAAAACCTTCATTAAATGTTTATATATTGCTCATAAATGTTAAATACATATTGTATATAGTTTGACATCTTGATCACAATGATAAACGTTAATTCATGTGATGTAGAAAAAATATCTGTTGGCCTATGTAAGTAAAAAGTAAATTCATTTGAGGAAAAAGTACTGTTTATTGTTTGTTACTTACCACTACATTGGTATAAATTCTTATTAGATCATGTGTATAGATACAAAATTTAATTTATCGTAAAATATAATATAATGTCTTCTTCTGCTGAGTGCAATCAAACTTCTCTACTTGAGGTTTTTTAAGTGTTTGGCGAGCTTCTTTCACCTTTTCTAAGAATTTAAGAAGAACCACTCTAAGTCTGCTTTGGTGGTTTTTCCCGAAGTTATGTCCCTTCCCGGTGAATGTTTGCTTGCATATAGCACAATAATATGCACCCATTTAGACCATTTGTTAAAAAAAAAAAAAAAACTAAAATATGATAAAATATCATTATACATATATATTTCAATATATATCAGATTTGTTACTGTGATTATTAAAATCATTTATCTCTACGGTGTCATTATGTATCCCTTTTTTTTTTAAATACAAGTTTAGAAATAGGTTGTAACATAGAATGTAGCTCTGATATGCTCCTTGACTCAAATGTCGGGCTCCATTGATCGTTCAAAGTGAGCTTGGCGAGGATTAACTGTGTCTTTGTGTGTGTGTATGTGTGTGTGTGTGTGATCTTCAGGAGAGTGAGGATGCAGTGAAAGTCCTGGCAAAGGAGAAAGACATGCTGGAGAGGGAGAAGTGGGACCTGAGGAGGCAGACCAAAGAAGCCACAGAACAGGCCAACATCCTGCGTTCTCAGATGGACATGAAGGAGAACAGGGTCAAAGAGCTGGAGGCCGAGCTCACCATGGTGAGTCACCCTGCACGTAAACACAGTCACAACTTTCTTGAATTAGTAAGTCAAGCACAAAAGTGTCACATTAGCATCATTATCTGGTGCTTATGGCATAAATGCAAACAAGGTATGGGTTTGCAATCCTGCCGCTGTGTTCATATCAAACACATGCAGTAAGCTGCTCTGCCATCCTCATCCCTTTCCTCTCTCAAAGTATTAATTCTTTCTCCAGGCTGAGGAAGAAATTCATGCCTCTTTTTTTCTGTGTTGCCGCATCGGTGCCTCGGAGGTATACAGTTGTCAGTCTGTGTGTCATTAATCTCTCTCCTCCCTCGGCGAGTCATAACCACCCACAGATCCTCAGATCAAGCCTCATCACAGATCAGTTGTGTTGGTACATCAGTGCAAGAGCTGCATCGCTGTCAAGCAAGCAAGCACCAAAGCCACAAAATATATTTCTACCTCTCTTTTTTTCTCCTCTTCTCTTTCTATTTAAAATCCGGTTGTTGCCAACTGTTTCCCTTACCACAAGTGGTTGCCCATTAAATGCCTTTTTATAGGCTTCCAGTAATACAATCCTGTGGAAAACATCAAACATGTATAGTTTTGGCACAGAAATGGACAGTCTTTATTAGAATATTGCCTGTTGGCTAACTTCAAAGGTTAAAGCTGCCGTTCTAAATAATATCCTAATACAGCCATGCATTGTAATTTTTAGCAAACAGTGCTCAACCAGGAGTAGATGATGTATTTGTATGAAACTTCAGCAACAGATTAATACACATTTGTTGCTTTAGTGAATATTTAGAGCAATAGGACGGTGAATGTTTTGATTGACTCAAAATAAAGTACTGTGCAAATAATAGAGGAACATATTGGCCAGTTTAATAGGTTTTGGAAAACAGTGGCGCTCTGTTGCACAGGGGAATAACATATATTTAAGATCAGTTGATTGTTGGTTTTGGTCTTTTCATGGGATTTGTTGACAATAAGTAAACATAGAATACCACTAGTCTTTCATTTAGCTATCAAGTTCCACAATTAGTTGTGTAGTGTAGCTATTGTTGTGTACATGTGTGTGTAGATGCACACATTCAAGCATGCATACAGTGCTCATGAGTTTATGTACAAGACATGTTTATTTATATGGCACATTTCAAGTCTTTTACATAATGCACAACAGATATGAAGACAGACAGACTATGACACAGAAAACGCAAACAAAAAGCATAGAAATTAATTTTAAATCAATTAAAAAGATTTTTTAAATGTGTGTGAGCAAGTTTGTTTTACTTTCAGGTCATGCTCAGTTTCTCTTTCTCTTTTGTTTCCCAGGCGAAGCAGTCTCTGGCCACCTTGACAAAAGACGTGCCGAAGCGCCACTCGTTGGCAATGCCTACAGAGCCCGTGATGAACGGCAGTCAGGAGTGGGTGATGCAGGCCGACCTGCCGCTCACTGCCGCCATTCGTCAGAGCCAGCAGACCCTCTACCACGGACACACCACGGACAGACAGGGTAAGCTCTCTTACTGTATCTGCTTTGCTTCTCAGTCTCGGTGCTGCTTGGTGTTGCTTTTACAGACTAAACATACTAACAGTGTTTCCTGGAGGTTTCTCATACTAACTGGGTATTTTTCAACATGTGTAAATACATGTACGTGTGCACATGTGTGTGCGTGTGTGTGGCACATCCAGCTGTGGTCAGGATCAGCCCCTGCCACTCTCGCCAGCCGTCTGTCATCTCAGACGCCTCTGCAGCCGATGGAGACCGCTCGTCCACGCCCAGCGACATCAACTCACCTCGTCACCGGACCCACTCCCTCTGCAATGTAAGAGCTGCCTGGCCTCCTCGACCAAGTAATCACACCTCCACACTTTTCTAAAAGTACCTCCTTACTCTTCTTGTCTTCTCCTGTTTGTGTCTGTCTCTCTTTTCTGTCAGCCTGCTGGGTGTCAGCCTGCCTGCTTGGTGGTGGTGGTGGTGATGATGTTATTTTGCATTTAAGTCACTTTAAAGCAATAGTTTGATATTTTAGGAAATATGCTTATTTGCTGTCTCGCTAAGGAAGAAGCTGCAGCCAGTTAGCTTAGCATAAAGACAGGGGGTACAGGCGTTTATGTGCTGGACTAATTATTTGCTTGGAGCAGGAACGTCCTGGTGTCAGGCAACCAGTCGAGATTCCAAGAAGTTACTCTGCCAGGCCAAGAAGTAGTTCGGCACATAACCCCCGTTAATACACTTTGTTTTTGTACATATTAAATAAACAGGATACAATTTGTAAATCTGTGATCTTTAGGTCAGGGGCTGAGCCAGAAGTTGGCCGGGGGTGGCACTGGCCCCCCTTGGTGCCCACCCGAACAGAGTAACAAGGTGATAGATAGTTGGCTTCTTGGTAAAGTTGAGGGATTGCTGAATGGGCCTACCAGGTGCAGGCCTAAGGCCTATCGGACCAGAACCTCTGCATGAAATGACAACACATCTTGTTAGAAAGTCAGTCAAGCAAGTTCAAAGAGACACTAAACAACTACAAGCAACTCAGAGAGTCATTTAGTCTCTTTTCCAGTCTTTGTGCTAAGCTAAGCTAACCAATCTTACTCTAAAGAAAGTGAATAAGCATATTTCCCAAAATGCTGAGCTACTGCTTTGACTCAGCTGTATGGGATGACAAACCCAAGATTCCTGTCTCCTCTTCTCTGTTCAGTCCATGGAGGACCTGGAGGACCAGAAGCGTAAGAAGAAGAAGGAGAAGATGACTCTGGGATCCCTGTCGCGGGTGTTCGCTCGAGGCAAGCAACGCAAGTCACTGGACCCCGGCCTGTTTGATGGTACAGCCACCCCTGATTATTACATAGAGGAGGATGCTGACTGGTGATACTGAGTGTGTGAGCCTGTGTGTGAGTGGTAAATGTGTGTGGATATTCACCTGGCTTTAACTGTGTGTAAAGAGTGTTTTGTGTGTGGGTTTGTCTGGAGGGGGTGAATTTTAAAAGAAATGCCTAAAAGAGACTGCTATCCCCATAAATGTACAGAATATTACCCTTAAATTTTATGTTTGTAAATTAGATATATATTTATAGATGTACATGTATGCATATGTATATATGTTTACATGCATATAAATATATACATGGGTTATTATTATGTGTAGCCATGTTTATGCTATATTATCTTCCAAATGTCTTAATGTTTTATGTTTTTTTATAACTGGAGACTTGAAGGACCGCTGTTCATATGTAAATAGGAGTTATTGTGAAACTAGTGTTTTTACTGTAAATGTCATTTGACTTTTGTTACTTTACAGTTGCTTTTATCATGCTTTGCAACATTGATTTCTAAGTTTCTTCTTATTCCCAATCTTACTTAGCCTGAATGGCTTTAAAAGAAATTTATCTTTTGGAGTTTAATAATTGGCCAAAATTCTGTTTTTTCAAATTGCTTGTTGGAATGGAAAGTAGTACTTTGTTTCAGAGATATTGCTGGTGTAAGTTTGCCATCAGGTTCAATTTATAAATGCTGGCTAATGTATAAACATATCACAATGTGGGCAGCAGAGACCTTTTTTTCATGAAGCTTCCTCATCCGTTTCTGCTCAATATCATATTATCAGTTACAATAATCAACGACTGGCCAACAAGAGTTGTAAAGCCAGTCTTCCTCAACATGTAATTGCACGTACCTGAAAACACAAACAAAAGAATAACAGTGATGCGTCACATACCTGTCATCTGCTGTCGAAACTATGCGCAAGTGCCAAAGGGGAAACACTCATCTCTAGAAAGTCTGCGTATCATTCTGTCACTGTTAGCACTAGCCTCGTAACATTGTTTATGTCTGACTCACTTCTTACCGAGAGCTATCTAACGTGCCAGTATGAGACGAAGGAATGCCCATTAAACATCTGCATGATCCCTCTTTGCTGCTCTGATTAGATGTCCATTCATTGCCAATCAAATTAATATTCTCCATAATCCTGTGTTGCTCCTGTGTTACCTTTTCCCTTTACCAAGTGATCTTCCTTGCATTGTGAATGCATCCCCCTTTTTTTTTTTGACTGTTTTTGTTTTGCTTTGTGTAGAATCCCTCCTCATTTCTTGCAAATGTGGCTCTAATAATTCTATAATAAATGCTTTGTAATTTAGGAAATGTTGCATAAAAGAGTAAATCTATTGAAGTATTTTATTTAAAAAGAAAAAATACAAAGAAGAGGTAACTTCAAATATTTATCTGCTGCAGCTGTTGCAGCCAGATGTTGGAGGAGGCGTTTAGCATTTTCAAAAATGAATTATAATTGAAATGAAATCTTATTTTAAAAATAAAACTAGTAACTGAATACATCCTATGTGGCAGTTTTCTGTTCCGTGAGTAATCTTGTTATTGTGTCCCAGTCTAATGTGTCTCTCCCTCTCCTCCTGCCATTTCTAATGGCAACTCTCTCCTGCCAGTGAGTAACTCCTCATCTGTGATTACCAGCTGTCTGTTTCTGCACTCTGGGGATTATTCATATCACTCAGGTCCATTGGAAAAATTCAAGTTTGTGTCATTTTCTTGTGGAAACTCTTTTGAGAAAGAGATGGTGGACTTTGCATGCAGCGTTTTTGTCAGCATGTGGAGACGAATCAGGTAAACATGCAGCGTTCATCCTGGATTGGTTTGTTCAGTATGAATCGGTGTTTTCCTGCATGAAGTTCTATGAATAATCCCTGTGTCTCTAATACATTATCCTAATGGTCTTTAGTCCCGTCATAATCATCAGATAGTTGCTGAAGTATTTTAACAACTTTACTAAACTCGGTACTGTAGTTCTTTGAACTCACTGGACTCCCACACTCTCATGAAATAAAGAAATGGATTGTTTTTCTTCTGAGTTATAGGTTTAGATTGACTCAATTGTGTAGTTTTTATTTAAAAAATGTATAATCCTGGGAAACTAATTCCATATACAATACAGTTCATCCAAAGACATAGGACGTGGAGCTACAATTAATTGTTTGGCTCTATCTAGTGGCCAATTGGTGCAATTTCAATTACTTTTTTGACCAAATTTCAGTTGTTGATGTATGAAAAAGATTCTGTGTATTTCTAATGTGAATGCCCTCTGATTTTGATGTTAACCTTTCTCCAGATGAGTCACTTTTCTTGATTTCCATATCCCTCTGACCCTGAACCCTTCCTGTATGCCGCACCTTAACTTCTCCTGAACAATCCAGATTCTGACAGCCTCACACAGCAGAGCCTGTCTGATGGCGAGGAGCAGCTGGACCGCCTCCAGCAGGCGGAGCTCACTCGAAACACATGCATGTCGCTGTGGAGGGCAGGTGCAGTGCAGGCCTGGCTGGAGGTTGTCATGGGAATGCCCATGTATATCCGAGCCTGCTCTGAAAACGTCAAAAGTGGCAAGGTACACCTTTGGTATAAGTGGCTGTGGTGCTTGAGAGTGGGGTAAGATGCTGTTTTTGATTAATAACTGGATTTCTGTACATTAGGTCCTGCTAGGCCTGACAGATGAGGATTTGGAGCTGGGTTTGGGTGTCAATAACCCCATTCATCACAGGAAACTGAGACTGGCCATTGAGGATTATAGGAGAGCTGAAGGGGACCAAGGGTGAGCAGCAGCTAACAAAACACTGAAGTTTAATATTGATTATCAGCAGCGGAAGAGTAGAGTAAGTACATTTAGAACTCAAGTACTGCAATGAAATACAAATTTGAGGTATTTGCCCTTGAGTGTTTCCCTTTCATTGCTACTTCATACTTCTACTCGACTACAATCCAGAGGATACTATTTGCTCCACTACATTTATTTCACAGCTTTAGTTACTGGTTACTTTGCAGATTAAGATTTAAATAAAATTAAGCCACACAACAACAGTGCATAAAATAGTTTAAATCGTCTCAACCTGGACCAGCTACAACAGTAAAATGCATCAGTAGTAATAAAACAATAATAAAATATTTTATTCATAAACAATTTTTATGCATTATTAGCACTTCTTTCTGACTCTGTATGTACATTTAGCTCATAATGCTTGCATTCTTTTTAGTACTATTTTAAATTCAGGAATTCAACTTGCAATGGATATTTTCACTGTGTCGTATTTCTGCTCATACCTGAGTAAATTATCTGAAATCTTCGACCACTGCTCATCGGTGTTGTCTAATCATCTTCTAGACTATCGAAAGCATCCGAGATGGACCATCACTGGGTTGCGACATCATGGCTGAGTGACGTGGGGCTGCCTCAGTACTCGCAGACCTTCCAGACTCATCTAGTGGACGGGCGAGTGCTGAACTCTCTGAGCCGGAGAGACCTGGAGAGATTCCTTAACATCAGCGACCAGTTCCACCAGACCAGTCTGCTCCTGGCAATACAGCTCTTGCAGATATTCAGTTTTGATAAAGAGGTAAGATTAAAGATCAACATTTACATGAGAGACCATATGAAAAGGAACGTATTGCTGTTCCTCAACCACTGCATAACATTTAACCCAACTACAATCACAAAACACATCACATGTGATTTCCATAATTATCCACCATAGCTTGAGCAGGCCATCACCTTTCCCTGACCTCTCTCTGTGTTTTCATTGGTTCTTGCTACATGAATGCTTGCGCACTCATCTCTGTGTTGTGTTTTGGCAGACCCTTCAGGGACAGCGGGCAAAATGTGAGCACCAAGACCGGGACCCGATTGTTTGGACATGTCACAGAGTAATGAAGTGGATCAGAGACATAGACCTCAAGGTGGGTGGGAGGTCAGTGACGGTATTCCCCTTTGCTCGGAGATATGAAGGGCAGATTTCTACCAGATACTAATTACTAGGTTCTAGGATTCCCTCAATAATTGGGGCGGATGTGGTTCAGGGGGTAGAGCAAATTATCCTTCAATCACAAGGTTGGAGTTTTGATCTCTGGCTCCTCCTGTGCGCATGTCTTAGCGTCCTTGAGTGAGACACGCTTCGGATGGGTTAAATGCAGGGGTCAAATTTCCTGTATGTATGTGACGATTGAAATTTAGTTTAAAATGGTGCCTCGCCACTGCTGAAAGAATACAGACAAAAATCACTTAAGAAAATAACATACAAGTGTTTTTTCTGCATTGGAAATGAATAATAGTTTACCTTCTTCTTATTTTAACATGCTTATTTTTGGTGGAATTGTAGAACTAGAAACTAAAACGCCACCATGATTGTGGTTTGCCTTTAATTACTGTTAAATTTGACTTTAATACCAATATGACTTTTGACAGGACTGCAGATAAAGTCTGAAGTCCGCATATTTGTGCTCCATGTTCTCTCCAGGATTTTGCAGGCAATCTTCCGGGTAAAGGGATTCATGGAGCTGTGATGGCTCTGGACCCGTCCTTTGACACAGACGTCATGGCCAAAGCCCTGGGGATCCCCAGCAACAAACACATGCTGCATCGGCACCTGTATGAAGAGATGAAATCACTCGCCGTCCCTCACAGGTAGATTAAAAAACCCTTCAACTCTTGTTGCATACTTTTCTATTCTATCATACTCTTAAAGCAACAAGTAATTTTGTTCTATGATATAAAAATATAACTTTGCCAGTTATTTTGTTGCCTTTGAAAATGAATGTAATTATCTAAGGATTAAATTTAAACATTGTGCACATAAATGAATATGTCTATTCCTTGTATTCACAGCAGTGCAGAGCAGGGAAGTGAAGTTATCGGATCCTCTTCGCCTGTGGCTGTTAACCGCTTTGCCGAGGAGAGGGTGTCGATGAGAAGATCAGGCAAGGTATCATTTCAGCAGTTAATTAGTGAAATGTTTCTGTTTACATAGATTCATATATTTATCTTCCTGGAGGTTTCCTTGCAGTATAGTGGGCTAAGACATGGTTTGATTATGGACGGGTAACTTTGTTGCATACATACATGTGTGGTGGTACTGCACTTTACTCAGCTGCAATTTCTTCACAGACGACACATGCATGCAGAAGGACAGCATTTTTCCCCTAATTATTTTCATGACAACTAGTTGCCTTTTAATCTGCATAACAAAACTATTTGACAGATTTATACAGCTCAAGATATAAATTGAAATGAATCTCTCATGTTTGAGAGACAGTAGCTAAAGCTTTAGTAACATTGGAGAAACCGGCAAGAGAACGCTAAATTCAAAAAATGACCCAACCAGTGTTGCCAGCTCTTTCCCAATGGAAGTGGCTAGCAGCGCTAGCTCCAAAAGTCACTAAATCTAGCAAGAAAGTAGCCAAACCGTCTAAAATACATTGCCCACACTAGCTAGTGATGTATGTCTTTGTGTCAGGAGATGTTGACGTGGGACATGACATGAGGAGCGATCATTAAAAAGTGTAGAATAGTGAGAGAAAGTTAAATTAGCTGGAAGTTTTAGAAAGGTGACTTTGTTCAGAAACCTGTTTAATTGGTCAACCTGTTGCAGCATGTTACAGTTTGGAAATAAAAAAAGTCTCAGTCTTGTGAAAGAGGTGTATATTGAACATTAAATGGTCACAAACATTTGTATTTTTGTATAGAAAAATGCAAGTGAAGCTTTTTGTTCATCTCCAGTAATGAGTTGTCCTGTAATTGGGAGTTTTTATTGGACAGTTTCACTTCAATCTCAGCTGATAGTATTTGAACACAGTAGTCATTTAAGATATAGAAAGAAAAGCGTCTTATTTTGAGAAAGTAGCTCCACATTCTGTTTTATGCCTTCTTGAAAAAATGTCCAGAGTCCGCTGAGGTTACGTGCCAACAACCACTCTGTGGAGCGAAGTCTGGGCTTCCACGGCAGCTGCGGCTCTCTGCCCAGAGATGCCCGAGTTCAGGCCGTTCCCCGGGCAGCCAAAGGCAGCCCGATGCACACCTACAAGAGTGTTGAAATCACCAACGTCTGAACCAGCCTCCGCCATCCAGATCGCTGACGTTGCAGCTATTGTTTACATTGTCATTGTATTATTGTTTACTACTGAGAGGGACCTACACTCAGCATTGATTAAGAGTAAGTTGTCTTAAAGGGGTGCACCACTTGATTTGATGATTCATTATTCTTGGCCAATATTAGATTAACACATACTCTGAACAGAAACAATCATTTTTGACCCGATGGAGCTGTTGTGAACATAATGAAGAGGAAGAGGATTCTATGGACAAAAACAATTGTTTTATTCTGACTAAACGCCCAAATGAGTTTTATGTTATGAGTTTATACAAGGCTTAAGAACAACCTTCAAAATACCTGAACACAGTGTTCTCCTTTGATGCCTTATATCAAATAGGTCTCACAGCACTGTTGTTTACTGCTCTACTCTTTATTTCTAACATTACAGTAAATGAATGATTATGCTTGAGTTATAGGAAATAAAGTCATTATAACATGCTTTCACTGTCGAGATACATATCAGCTGTTGAAACCTGAACTGCGTCAGGTCAGCAGCTCTACATATATGAGTGAGATGTTGTTTAATTTTCATTACAACATTAAAAGATATGTAATTTGGACGTGTGGGGGAGCTAAAAATGGCAAAAAGTTCAACTTCTATGATTCTAGCACTTAGGACCATATTTAACCTGAATTCTGTAATTTTGAAAACTGGTAAAAATCCATCTTCTCATTAGTGTTACATAATATATTCATTTAATTAATGAACTGAAATTGTTTTTGTTTTCATTATAATGTAAATGTTGAGGTTATATGTAAATAAAACATACAGTTGAATGTTGGGTTTTCAAAGTGCTGATGTGTAAAAATTCAAGCAAATTATCTGCACATGTTTATACTGTATTAGTTAAGCACTGACGTAAAGGCAATGCTGTTACTTATATTATGAGATCAGTGGAGAGAATGTAGGTATGAAGGAATTTTTGTACGGTTTAATCATGTTTTATAAAACACTGTTTAAAGTTTGTTCCTGAGCATGAAAACACACAAATGAAATGTCACAGGGGCGACACTGTGTGCAGCTAAGCGCCTGAGGTCAATCCAAATAGTAGAAAACAGGTTTGTCTGTCACTATCAGGGCGTCTCCTTCAGTCACCAAGAGCAAAGTTGTTGAAGCGGGAAGATTTGGACTAGTTCAAACGTGTATGGAAACAGAACTGAAGGACTCAATGATTTCTGCTTTTAACACCAGTGTGAATATGACAGTTTACTGTCTCTCTTCACCCTGCTGTCAGAGCTTTTCATGTACGCCAACATTAAAAGTGAAATTATTGTCAAGTCATATTCAGCTTAGGCCTGTTATTGTTATTGTTCAAGACAAATGCATTCAAATCACTTTTAAAACATTAACCAAGAAAGATATTATCCTATGATTTTTTAAATATTTTTAGTTATATTATATATTTAAAATGTGCTCAGAATTTTCAAAAGTGTCACATTAGCTTGTTGATTAGTTTGGTATCTTAATTTTTTTAATTAAATAATGTATCAGAATTTCTGTTTGCATTTCATCCCCCTTAGTTTTGAGCAGAGTAGGAGGGGGTTAAGGGCCTTGTGTGTGGTAATGAGTGGAGAGCGCTGCTCTACACTCAAACCAGTAACCTTTGGGGGCTCTAACCTTGAGGCCACCACTTCATCTGCTAAGTGTGACACAGTCTAAAGCTCCAAAACAGCTACTGAGTGGACCTTATAGTAAGATTGTTTGTGTCAGCTGTATATCTCTGATGGTTGTGATCATATAAAGAATAGGAGTGGTGTACTTCAGACCACAACAAGTAACGTGTGTTCAGAATCAGAATCAGAACTGTTTATTCCCATGGTATGTTGAACATACAAGGAATTTGACATGACGGGTGGTGCACAACATTTAAAATCAACAACAATCAACACAGTGCAAAGTAGAAACATATTAAAATTTGCAGTAAAATATAAAATAAAGTGAAATATAAAATAAATACATATGTAACAACCTCTTCAAGACAATTAAGGAAACATTTATTTTTGCTTTAATGATCTTTAAACACTAATCATTAGAAGTAAAATGATTAATAGTTAAAGTCAGTTGTCAAGCAAAGGTTCGAAATATGACCTGGTTTCTGCATTTCTTTGTTTTATTTGATAGAAAACTAAATATGTTTTGGTCAAACAAAACAAGCAAAGACACCCTCCAGGGTTCTGGAATAGTTTAGGTTTTCATAGACTAAAGTTAATAATGTACAAAATAATCGGCAGTCTAATCGACAATGAAAATATCGTCAATACATCCACAATAATAATAATAATATTAGTTTTTCTTTTAGACAGACTCTGAATAAATACAATGTAGTTAAATCAATTTAAGAATCCTGTAAGTCTCCATTCGTGCCAACATAAAACTACATTAACCATGTTTTATTGTAATATATTATTCAATTTCAATACATTTATCAATCTGTTTCCGGGTGTGTCCACCTTTCTTGTCCCACTAATTTGTCCCCAGCGGAAGTTCTCTTCGCGGCGCTAGGACCACGCGGACAACAATTCGCGGACACACTTTACAACAAGGAGAGGGGAGGTTTCACTCCGGCTGGAATCTTAACAAAGTTCCTCTTAAAACATTTTTCTGTGGTAGTAAACGGCGTATATAGGTATATAAAAAAACGTTTTGTAATTTTAAATACGAATCTCAGTTGAACGGGGTCGTCAGTTGTTGCGTTTATGTCTTCTTCCTCTTTTTCCCTGTGATCTTCCTGAAAACACACCTGCGTGATTCAGGTGAAGAGGAAGAGGGAAGTCCTTGGGCATTGAGCGGCGAAAGGTAAGGCCTCTTCCAGATCACCTTCACCACCTTTGCCCGCTATCAGATCAACAGGAGCTCGTAGATTGGGTCGCACGCGTATCTTCACGAACTCTATTGTGTCCGGATAAGTTGGGTTTTCTTCAGTGTAGCTCCTGTGAGGGGACGCGTCCTCCCTCTGGGGTGCCTTCCTACTTTACAAACAACAAAAGAACTGGCAGCGTGCTGCAGCACGCAACCTACCCGGTAAAAGCTCACTGTTTTAGAAGTTAAGATTACTCAAACAGTATCGTCATTGAAGCAGTTAGTAGGCCTGTGATACTTACAGGAGAGAATGTTTTTTTTTTTTTAATGTTTGACATGGACACACCCATGCACACCGTCCAACCTGTAACATGCAGAGCATAAGAATATAAGGAAGCCATTGATGACACAGGATGTCAGCGTGCAAACTGACAGAAGCACAGACCACTGTGATAATAAACTGTCCCCATAGCCTTGATAGTGATGGTAATGCATCAATACTGACCCGATAGCAGTCACAGAAGGCACTGAACACTCTGTGGGCCTCCATGACTTAATGGAAGCAGAATTGTGTACATTGACAAATAAATTGTGTTTAATGTTGGTCGAGTCAGAGCTGATATTTGATCCATTTAATAAAGCCAATACTGATCTAGTGTATCAGATCAATGCAACCTTGTATCACAGTGTCATACACTCACAGAATGGGCTCCTTATTATGAATGAAATCAACGTCACAATATTAAGACGTTTCATAATTTCAAAATAACCTTTGAAATCTATTTAAATTTGATGTTAAATGCAGTGAACTGAAAATAAGGCTACATTGTGTGTAACAGTAAAATAAACTGTTAATGGAATGTAAAATGGAATTTATTCCTTATGAAACTAAATCATTTATCACAGTGTTTATGCTGCTTAATTTCACAACATGAATTAAAAAAAAAACCTCAAACTGTCTCCAGCCACGACAGCGACGCTGGTAATTGTGTGACGGATGCAGTGATGAAACTTTGAAGGTTTGTAGTTTCCACTTACGGTTTTGCTTAAGTTTGTCAATTTAAACATAACATTAATCATTTTGAATTAGGACCTACTGTATTTATTCAGTGAATTTAAGTATTTTCAAGGAGTTTTACATACAGCTGACATTTACAGTGTGCATGAGATTGCTGATTGATTAATGAGTGGTAAGAAGAAGAAGGATGGAAAATGTATGACTACTAATAATAACGGCAGCAGTGAGTATCATAAAATGTATTTATATATTCTAGTGGGGTAATGGGGTATAATAAGCTCTTTAAGATGTGATGGTGCCTAATGGACCAATTAGGGCTTTGTCGGTGAGAAGGATTTTAAATGCTATTCTAGATTTTACAGGGAGCCAGTGCAGAGAAGCTAATAGGAGTAATATGATCTCTTTTCTTAGGTTTAGTTAGTACACGAGCTGCAGCATTCTGAAGCAACTGGAGAGATTTAAGAGACTTATAAGAGCAGCCTGATAATAAGGAATTGCAGTAATCTAGTCTAGAGGTAACAAATGCATGAACTCATTTCTCTGCATCGCTTTGAGACAGGATGTGCCTGATATTTTAAATGTTACGTAGGTAAAAAAAAAAAAAGGCAGCCCTTGAATTTTTTATTTTTTATTTTTTATTTTTTTTTAACATTAGCTTTGCTCTCGACCAAATGTGATGTTTTTTTATTTTTGTGTACCCGACATGTAACTTGCCGCTTTCTTGCCCAGATCATCATTGAAAAAGAGATTTGATCTCAACAGATTTGTATCTGGTGTGTGGGCCATCATTTCTGTCAAAGAGCCAGTGAGTAGATGTCTGAAGGAAAGCAAGGAAACACCTGCCTCAGCATCACAAGGAAATGTCCTGTGATACTGGTGATGGAGTATCAGAAGCATATTCCGCAGACCACGTCATGATAAAGGAGAGAATCAATTATTTGATCAACCCATACCAGTCCTCAGCTCTCCCAGCCTCTTTAAATCAATCAGGACCATTTTATTAGCATTGTTCTTTCCTCCATGCCCATCCCATCCTTTCTTTGTCAGAATAAGAGGACAGAAGCTTAATTGCAGGGTGTGCTTTGAACGTAGGTTTGGACTTTCATCTGCAGTTAAGCACATCGACGACGTGCTTAAAGCGCTTTGCCCTTTAAATCATGAATGAAAAGAACATCTGTCAACTGTCCTGAGAATAGTGCAGCAGGTGTTGGCTTATTAATGATGGATGCAAGACGTTTTTAAACTGATTTACTCACTTGAATTCGTGATGTTCAGTAGATTAAACTCATTTATTTATTTTGCATTTTATACCTCCTCCCTCTGTTGACACCAGCTGCCCCGCCCTCATCTATAAACTCATGAGCTCATCCAAACCCACAACCTGCTCCCTCGGCCCACTAATGCGCTGAAGACTTGCCTCCCTATCCTATGTCCTCACTTCACCATCCTCTTCAATTCTCCACTGTCTCATGGAATTATCCCCTCCACCTTGTAATACTGCTGCTATCACCACAATACTCAAAGACCTGGTTGCCACCAGACCCACCCAACTCCAATCCCTCTCCAGAGCAGTTACCAGGCTCTGGAATTCCCTTTCCCAAGACATTAGAGACCGTGTCCCTCCCGATTTTTCAATCTTACCTCAAAATCAATCTCTTCCTCACTGCTTCCTCTTAGCACCAACCCGAAATACAGTTTAAACTGTATGAATATGGATCCAGCACGCCTTGCTAAAGATAAAGTGATTGTGTGGATTACAGTGTGGTGGTCTAAAGGCTTTTAAATATATACTTGGTGCTCAGCAGCACCTTTAGTACCGATGTAGCGTTTTATGAAGACTGCAGTACAACCTACACTTTGTTGCTGATATGTTATTTGAACATGTTTTCATGTTTGAACATGTTTCCAAACACACCCATCTAGTGTATCTGTCAGTCATCACACTACTAACTTCAGTTGAGGCAGTAGTAGAAGAGGATTCTGTGTATAGGTCAGACTGTTCTCTCATTTTAACTTTTTTTTTTTTTAATTGTGAAATACTAGCTGCTTGTCAACCATCTAAAAAGTATTCAAATTGAACAGTTTAAGAAGAAGGAATGACTCACGGAAGTAATGCAGGGTAAAGATAATGCTCTGCTTTAAAGGTTGACAATAACAAAAAATGATAAAGTCCACTGTTTATTGCAAACATTTCTGAAAAAGCTCTAGTTGGATGTATATGTTACAGACAGAGACACTTTTTGCAGTATTGTATTAAATTGCATTTATTTGCTGAGGTCTTCATGCTATTTTTTGCCCCCCACGCCCGTAATTCTGGGACTTGTTTATCAAAGATCCAATCTGTTCCATTGTGTTCCACTATATACTTAACATAATTCATGTTGAGTGATATATCATCATACCACAGACATTTTTTGTGTGAGTCATTACCCTCAATCAAAAGATTGATGTCTCTCAATCTGTCATGTTAAGACATGTGTGGAGCTACTAATGCACTTGTTTTATTTTAACCTGTTTTCTTGTCAACCTGCTCTCTCATTCCTGTCGCTCAGAAATATAGCAATCTCAGCACTTTTGTACGAACCGTAAAAAAAAAAGTAACTTATTCACCAATGCAGCCAGGTTCATTAATAGCATTATGCTAATACTCAGTCAGGGCAGGTTTTAATTGTTAGTTGCAGCAATAAAATGCTTTTTAGAGCTGATCTGAGCAGGCGTGATACACACGGTCCCAACAATAACAATCTCCCTCCTAGAGCCTGACATATGCAAGTTTGTGTTTTTAGACTTGACAGATATAATGATGTTAAATGTTTACATGGACCGTGTAGTGTTAGAGAATGGGTCTTAGTATTATTGGTAGTCATAGTAATGTGGTTGATGGTAAATGAACAATGTGACTAGAGCAAAAGCAATTGGTCAAATATTTGATTAGGACACATCAGCATGGACTAGCTTTGCCGGGGATCGAACCTCCGATTCTCTGACCGAAGGTGACCCTGCTCTACAACTGAGACACGGTCGCTCATGTGGCTCATGTTTCCATATCTCTCGTCACTTCTCATCGGTGATCCTCTATGTTCCAGGTTGTCCTGCAGGGATGTGTTCCAGTCGGGGTATATGCGGCAACAACAACCGTCCCAACAGATCCTCCGGCTCAGAGGGCAGCGGTTCGGGCGCTCACTATGCCCTGTGCGCCCTTGGAGTGGGACTCATAGCCCTGGGTATCGTCATGATTGTGTGGACTGTGATACCGATGGACGGAGAGGACTCCCCCAACTCGTCAACCAACTCCACTGCGACTCCGACTGACACAGAGGAAGACAACGACAGCACGAGTGCTTCAACAGTGGCTATGGTGCTGGTTGGAGTAGGGGCGGGCTTGTTGCTTTTATCCATTTTCCTCGGTCTGAGGAGCAGGAAGAGACAACTTAATGCAAGTAGCCAGCCAGTGGCAACAGGAGTCCCCCTCATGAACCATGTGGCAAGGGAGCAGGAGGAAGCGTGAGTGATGGCCCTTTTGTCTTTTTAATAAATTCAGATTTTCCTTAGACGTTGTCAACTTCCAGTATTACTCCCATTTGGTACATATGGTGCACAAATTGTTATTGTTGCTTTACAGGTCTTGAAGCATTTCCACTTGGAATATCTTGGAAATCCACTTTGTTTAGGATTTGAAAGTTCTTTACTACCCCGAAACAGACCCAGGAATAAATCAATGTGCTAAAAGCAACACATAGACTGCACCAAATTATTACTGGGATCGTTTCATTATAGTACACACAAAAACGTATGCCATCAGAAAACATTGCAAGATGCTTTAATCACCTACATGTTATACGTAGTGCAGATGTGAGCTGTTAATCATGCCTCATGAAACCAAGTTGTTGTCACATAATAAGATCTATTGGCTTTATGGGGAGGAAGACGGTGGCTATAATCCATATTTTTATAAAAAACAATGGATCAATGTCTGGAGCATGTGTCATGTGAAAATGACAAAACCCTAAACTTGTGTTGGTTCAGTCTCCAGCTCTCTTAGCCCCGTTTCTGTTCACAAAGGCAGCTGTATAGACAGCTGGTGAACATAGTTGAGCATTTAGCAGCTAAAGAACCAGATGTATAAAAGAGTGAATATTGGACTTACATTTGACAGGTGGACACAAACACGAATCCAAATGAATGGTATTGTTGCTCTATGTCTCCTGGATGTGAAAAACTGAAACCGTTTGTCAAGACCTTCGTCATATCAACAATATAAGTGATGTGTCAGTGTTGTATTCACGGCTTGTTTCTGTTGTCCCTGAGTGGCAACAGAATAGTTATTGCAGGTTTAGAGTTTGATGATTTTCTTCCGTGTTTTGTGTTATACTGCACTTTCTCACTGAGATTCTTTTGCAGAGCGGCAGACCGAGCTACATACACCGTGCCGAGTTACGACGAGGTTGTCGGCAGTGAGGACTACCCCGTCCGCCACAGCAACCTTCGCAGTAGCACCTCCCAGCTGCCGTCCTACGAGGACATCATAGCTGCTGTGGAAAATGAGGGAACAGAGCCCACTGACAACCCCACCGAGGCCGTCCCTCCTAATGATCCCACACCAGCTCCGGCTGAACCTGCTGCTGAGATCCAGGCTGAACCTTCTGGCCTTCGATCAAACCCCAGCCTGCCCACTCGCAGTGCCAGCCGGGTGAGCCGTTTACTGCGGCCCCTCCGGGTGAGGAGGATCAAGTCAGACAAACTGCACCTGAAGGACTTCCGCCTCCAAATCCGCAGCCCCACACAGAATCCAGTGACCATTGAACCCATCACTCCGCCACCGCAGTATGACAAAGAGATGCCGGAGTTAGGGTAGTGTCTCTTGCTTATTCCCTGCTCTCGATGAATATAAATAACTCTGTTTCTGAGAACCCATTTTCAAGGTTGGTATTAAGTAGGTTAAATGTAGCTGGGAGCGGCGTGATGGAAGCCATGCAGATACACTCCTGAAATGAGAACACCGTCTTCATCACTGGAGCTTGTGATTGGCAGAGCTATTCCTTCTTATTCTATAAAGCATAATTAAGTCTGTGTGAAAGGATACGCTGTCAACGTTGAGATTTAGTTTGACAGAACTGTCAAAACATGGGACAGCCTTTCAGTTTTATTTCATAGCCAATTTTGTGTTGCAATAGACAATATCCTAAACTTTTATGTTTTTCACCTCAATTCTTATTGTTACTGTATATTGATGCTGATTAATTGTGGAACAGTTTCAATCATATTATTGTAATTCAAAAGGGGTAAAGGGAAACTCATTACCTGTGAGATTTTAAAGTTATTAAGTATGCAACCTTTTTGTGATTTGTAAGTCTGAAGAAAATGCACTGAGGCCAAAAAATTATGATTTTAAAAAAAAAGCTGTTTGTGAGCCGTTTTAAAATCTTTGCATTAAACAGTTTGTTGAAAATGAAAATGCCATCTATAAGACATTCAGTGTGAACTGTAAAATATTGGAAACACAGAATCCACTGTAACAGTAAAACCAGAGAAAAACGATTGGATATTCTGGTATGGGAAGCAACATTAACAATTATGCATTTCTTCATAGGACTTTATAGGTATTCAGATGTTTAAGCTGTGCTGTATGTTGTTGGTAAAGACTGGAGAATAAATGTTTTCGATTTCATTTACCTCATGACCAGATTTTATATTTTTGTTGCAAAATGGTTAAGGTGGGGCAGCAGGCTTAGGAGGGTATTTCAAATGTCCCTTTTCCCAGCAACCAGAGGCATTCCCAGGCCAGAGATATATAATCCCTCCAGTGTGTCCTAGGTCTGTCCCGGGGCCTCTTGCCAGTTGGATGTGCCCGGACAACCTCTAAAGGGAGGCATCCAGAAGGCATCCTGATCAACTGCCCAAACCACCTCAGCAGGCCCCTTTCGAGGCAAAGGAGCAATGAGTGGCTCTACACAACATATCTATACAATTTGTAGAGCCTTCAGCCTATCGGGGTGAATCTCATCCACCCCTGGCGCCTTGCCACAGAGGAGCTTTTTGTCTACTTTAGCATTCTCTGCCAGGGATATGGGCTTTAGCTGGACGGCCTCATTCACTGCTGGTGTCAATCCTATGTCATAAAGGAAGTCATAGATTAGTATGTCATTAAAACAGTCATGGTGTAGTAAGTCATAGTATAGTATGGCTTACAAAGTGTCATACAAAAATCATAAAGTTGTAGTATAGCATGTTATTAAACTTTCATAAAGTAAGTGTGTAATGAAATGTCATAAAAAGTCATAGCATAATATGTCATCAAAAAGGGCATGAACATTCATTGTATGGCATGTCATGACAATGTCATGGTATAGTATTTCATTGAAAGTCATATAGTTTGTCATGAAAAAACTATAAAATATAATGGTATGCCATAAAATTGTCATGAAAATGTCATATAGTATGTAAAAACATTTTTATGAAAAATCACTGTGGGTAAAAATTCATAATTTAGTATACCCTGGAAATATTGCAAAAAGTCATAGTTTAGTATGTCAAACAAAAAGTTGTATAATATGTCATTAAAAATATAATAAAAGTAAGAGTGTACCATGAAATAAACATTTTATTGAAAGTCATAGTACAGTCTGTGAAAAAACTGTTAAAGAATGAGAGTATAGTATGAAATAAAGTCGTATACGGTTGTAGCATAGCATGTCATTAAACATTCTTAAAAAGTCATACTATAGTATGTCATTAAAAACGTCATAGTATAGTATCTCATTAAAAACGTCATAGTATAGTATGTCATCAAAAATGTCACAAAAAGTAATTGTATAATGTAATTTAAAATTAGTGCTGGGGAACGATTAAAATATTTAATCGCGATTAATCACATGGATTTTTTGCGATTAATCGCATTGTTATGGCAAAGTTCAATAATGAATTCAAAAGTAGTGTATTGCTCACTTTTATTTTAAAAGTACTGCTATATGAACAAAAGGGCAATAACATTTGGTTCACGAGATGCAGGTAACATGTTTTATACTTAATGTGAATATAATTCATACTTTGTTGGCATCTTATTCTGAAAACCGGATGTTCGTCTGAAGAAACCGGATGTTGTCTCACGTTAATCTTTCCGCTATCTTTCAAAGTCCTTCACTCGCTGCCGATCTGTGCCGTTTAAATGCGTTTACCGTGAATTTCAGCATATAGGTGCACTAAAATTACTGCCTATAGCATGTTTGCTGGCTTTTATCCCACTGTTCTTGTCATCCTCTTGTTGTTATGTATATGTATTGTCTCTTGTCTTTCAATTAACAAAAAACAAAAAAAATAAAATAAAATTATAATAAATTTTAAAAATGCGTTAACGAGCGATAAAATAATTATCGGCGTTAATTAATTAATGCGTTAACGCGAAATTAATGCGTTAACTTGCCCAGCACCATTTAAAATATAATAAAAAATTAGAGTTGCATGAAATAAAAATTGTTGTAAAAAGTCATAGTACAGTATGTCGAAAAACTGCAAAAACATGTTAAAACTTTATAAAGCGTCATAGTGTATAGTATGTCCTGAAAGTTAATGTAAAAGTGATAGTAAATGATGTCATGAAACATGTCATTAAAATAATATTAAGTCATCAAAAAGTAATTAAAGATTTATAGTATGTTATAAATATGTAATAAAAAAGTCATAATATAGTATAGTATATTATGGTATGCATACAATTTTCATGAAACTGTTATAAAAGTCATAGTGTATGTCTTACAAAGTGTCCTAAATGAGTCATGAAAAAGTTATAGTATGTCATTAAAATGTGATTACAATTCATGGTATGGTATGTCTTACATGTCATGAAAATGTCGTATTATATATGTACATATGTAAAAAATGTTTTATGAAAAAGTCGTATATGTCATGAAAAAAATGTCATAAAAATTCATATTATAGTATGTTATAAAAAGTGTCATAAAAAGTCATAGTATATAGCATGTGACCAAATATGTCATTAAAAAATCATAGATTAGTATGTCATGAAAATATTGTAAAAAAATGTCATAATAAACAGCATTATGAAGTCATAGTATTGTATGTCTTACCAAATGTAAACAAATTGTCTTAGCTTAGTATGTCAAAAAAAATTAATTAAAAAGTCATAGTATAGTGTGTCGTTAAAAATGTCATTCAAATTCATAGTGTCATGAAAAGTGTCATGAAAATGTCAGTCTAGTATGTCAAAAAATCATAAAATGTATGTCATAAATTTCGTTAAAAGTCATCGTATAGTATGTCATAAAACACACCATTACAAAGTCATAGTTTAGTATGTCATAGTTCATGAAAATGTCATAAAAAAATCATACTTATTCATTCATTGCACATTAATTAGTTAATATTTTCTCAGTTGTTTTGGTGTGTGTGGTCTTCTATGAGCAGTGTTGATTTTGCAGTCTGACAACAGCAGGAAGGAAGGACCTGCGATATCCCTCCTTCAAACATCGCGGCTAAAGCAGCCTGTCACTGAAGCAGCTGCTAAGTGCTGTTGTGTGTCCGGCATAGGGTAGGCCATGGGCTCTCTATCAGGGATGACATCTTAGCATCATTCTCCTTTCTCGCACCAACTCCACTGGACCAAAGGGTTAAGTCTCTTCCTGTCAGCATTCGAGATGCTGCTGCCATCCATTGATGAAAGCTGATGCCACCACGGTCGAAAAAGGTCCTCCGGAGTGCTCCCTGTACTCCAAAAGACAGGAATCTCCTTAGCAGATGGATTCTGCTATGTTCCTTTTTGTCTGTTCCGTCTAGTCTAGTGTATTGTTCAGGTGAACAATACTAAGTCTAAGCAAGTCTAAGCATGTCATTAAAAAGTTATAGTATGGTATGTCATAGAAAATGACAGAAAAAAAGTCACAGTAAAGTATGTTATAAAATGTCGTAAAAGGTTCAACAATAGTATGCCATAAAAATTCATGAAAAATGTGTGGTGTTATGTCTTACAAAATGTGATGAAAATGTTAGAAAAAAATCATGAAAAATACAAAGATGTCATGTAAATGTCATGAAATAGTCATAGTACAGAAAAAATAATAAAAACAGATTTAGTATGTCATGAAATAAGTGTAATGCAAAAAAGTCACAAACTCTTAGCCACGATGCAAAAGACATTTAATAATAATATTTAGTTTTCAATAATCTCTAATATAGTATTTCATTAGAATATAAAAAGTCATGGTATATTCGACCATAAAAGATGTCATAAAATCGGTCAGAGAAGGGTATGTATTCCATAATGTCATGAAAATGTCACAGTATAGTATGTAAAAGAAAAGTATGAAAACGTTATAGTATAGTATGTCATAGTATGGTATAGTTGTCATACAAGTGTCAAAGTGTAGTATGTCCTAGTTGCAATAAAAAAAAGATAGAATGATGTAATTAAAAATAAAGTTGTATTATAGTATGTCATAAATTTGTCAAATATTATTTTTTACAAAATTACATAAACATAAAACCTGTCCTAAAAGTCATAATGTATGTCAAAAAAGATTTCATAAAAAAGTCATAGTATAGTATGACATGAAAAGTCATAGATTAGTATGTCTTTCAAAATGTAAACAAGATGCCATAGCTTTGTATGTTAAAATATATTTTAATAAATATTTCATAAAAAGTTATAGTATAATGTCATTAAAATGTCATAATTTAGTATGAAATTTCCTGACTTAAAATATGAAATAATATATTATTTTGTAAGACATACTATGACTTTTCTTGAAATTTTTCATGTAAAATACCATGACATTTTTATGATATTTTGTAAGACATACTATAGTATAATTATTTTTTTTGGACATACTTATTTTTTTATGACACACTTTACTCTTTAATTCTTCATGATAAACTTAATAAAGATTGTATGACACTTCTCACGAAATACTATTCTATGACATTTCATGACATACAGTACTATGGCTTCTTATGACTTTTTCACGACATATTATACGTTGACTTTCTATCTACACCATACTAAACTAATACTATGACATACTATACAATGAGTTTTATGGCATTTTAAACTACACTTATCCTGATATTTTGAGACACACTGTACTATGGCTTTTTTTGACTTTTTCTGACATATAATTACTTTTTTACAACATAATAAACTGCTATTTTCACGACAAATGTAACATATATCTTTAAGTGCTACAGAAGTCTACTTAACCGTTTTACCTCACATGCAATTGAAACTACTTTCTGGTCCCATTTAAATTCACCCAAAGTTAAGTTTGCTTTTCTGTTCCATGACAAACTGCACTTCAATTATGAAAAAATACCATTTTATTTCACATTCTACACATTTTACAGCTTTGTAAAAATAGATACATAAAAAACACAACAAATGCCTTCATTTTGGTAGTACTCACCAGCAAAACAAATGCATTTTCTTAAACAGTATATTTTACTGTGTATCTAACCTACAAACCAACAAGCTACCTTAGCTGATATAACTGTAGAACATGATGGTGGCACGCACATCATTTATTGGCTTGAAAAGTCAATTTTTCACAGGACCCCCTCGCCTTTAACACAAACAAATTTCAAGATGGCGGCCGGGGCTGTTCCCTGAGGAGGAACCTCGATGTCGCCCTCATTGCCCTCACAGCAAGGGTTGGATCTCGTTGTCGTTGG